CTCCCTGCTCGAAGGAGACATGTTCAGACAAGGTGAACAGCCCGTGAGTTGAGTTTCCCATAGACTGTGGGCCTAGGTAAAACACGACATTCGGAAAACACGTGCATGACAGCTATGGTGCTGGAGTGCAGATTGGCGACTATCAACGATCTTGCATCTTTGTTCAGATTACGGGGCGTAGACTCTCATTGCCGAGGCTCCAATGTGAAGTGTTGTGGGAATGATTCCCCAAAACACGAAGGCAACGTTTTGGGGTTTCAAAGTTTAAAGGAGGAAACGGTTGAGGAACCCACGATGCGCGCCCGATCCGGTCGCTCGGCTCTCGCAATCTCCGCGTTTTTCCAATGAGAGCAAGACCTAAATTGCAGGGCCGACATGAATGGCCTGAAAGCTTCTCAAGCTCTCGCAAACATCTGCGCAACTGTCCACGTAGACACCATGAGGTGCTTTTTAAAAAGTTTCCGTGTGCCAGCGGGCGCAGTTGCTGCGTACATTCCATGTTTGTTGTTGCCATCCTGTCTTGCCAGGCCTGCGCCAAGGCCCGGCGAGCCTGGCTGCAGCTTCGTGCGATTTGGGCCATGCTGTAACTACTCCACTTAAGAATCTTAGTAGCTGAGTGGGTACACTTTATGCTCTTTGGGATGCTATAATCCCCTATATTATAGTTATAGAACTGAAGGTGTACACTCGGCAACTAAGTCCAGCATTTTTTTCCAAAGGTACGAGGATTCGAGGATATGCCGCTACTGCCCAAAGGGATACAATGTCCCGGCTTGTGCCTGGCAGGATGCAGCCGTGGCTCATGTGGGTGTCCAGTGCTTCCTACGTGCCCTGGCGCCCTTTTGGAGGATTTTCATACATCACGCGGCTGTGTGCTTTTGAGGTGGATTCTGCCAGGTTGTTGAAGCTATGCTTGTGTGGGCATGATGTCATATCGGACCGTCTTGCAGCCCGAGAACTCCGTCGGCTCTGAGGCGAGACTTGCGACTTCTCCTCGCTGATGATGGCCTCACGGTCAGCACGCGAGGAGCGAGAAGCACGGAAGAGTTTACAAGGGTTGCAGGCCTGAGAAGCGCAGAACATTATAGCACGATCTGGCACTGTGGAGGGCCTGAGCCGAAAGAAAAAGAGCATGGAGAACTGCGGTAGAGGTATCTTTGCATGTATGAGGCATGTAATGTCTTGCCCTTAAGGCTTCTTAAGCAGGTGGGCACTCCAGGGTGGCGTGTCCACGTGTCCATTTGGAGCAGAAACCTCAAATTTGAAGCTGATGTCCTGGTGGGCCAAACAGGCTGTCCAGGAGGTTCCCCCAAGGATGCACTAACGTGCACTTGAGAAACGCCTTTGCGCAATCCAGTTGCCTGGCATTTGCTGCGGTCATGATGCGGGTCAGGGTGGCTTGACAAGTTTGCCATCCGTGCCTGCTTTTCCCCTTGACGGACCGGCTTGCCAAGCTCCCCCGTCTCAAAATGTCCATGCTCAAAGCGCTTCTGGGGCGTTCTGATGCTGGATCGCGACATTGTTTTCGTTGTGCGCCTGAACCAGTATGCAAGTGGATCTAGCATCTCTGAAGTGTTCCAACATAGCTTAAACATAGCCTAAGCGTGACTGAGGCGACTGGAAGCCCACGTGGAACATGTGCCGGGCTTGGAGTGAGAGGTGTTGGAGCCACAGTCCGGGACATGATGCGAGTTACATAAGTTACCTACTTCGAGGAATGCTTGGCCTTGGCCACGAAAATACCGCCGTGAGTGTGCCGAGGAGGTCTTCTCTTGCCCTGCCCCATTGTGTAGGAAGATGTTCTTTTTTTGTTACAAGACATCAGTTGTGTGTCTGCTGGCTGTAGGCCCATCCTAGCCGAGGCTGCCCAGCTTGTAGGTAGAGACCAGCTGCCATGAGCCGCGTGGGTGCTGCCGTGGCCCTTGGTGGCCTGACTTTGGCCCCAGCCTTCCTGGCGCCCGGATCTTCCACTCCTTCAACTCCTGTCCAGAAGAACCTGCGCACGGCGGAGCCTTCGTCCTCCCGGGCCGGGCCATCTTTCTCTACTAGTGCAGCCAGTGTGCTGGGTGCGGCAGCAGTGGCATCCTTGGTTGCGTCCAAGAAGCCCGTTCGCTCAGGCGCTGTTGCATGCCAGGCCTTCGATGCCAGCTCGCAAGTCGGCGTCACGCCTCCCTTCGGTTTCTTCGACCCAGCAGGCTTCACAAAGGGTGCGGATGAGACGGAGTTCAATCGGCTGCGTGCATGCGAGATCAAGCACGGCCGTGCGGCCATGATGGGAGCTCTTGGACTCTTGGTGCAGAGCGTTTACAAGCTGCCGGGCTACGAAAGCGTTCCTTCTGGTTTGGCGGCGCAGTGGACCGAGCCAGGGGCCAACAGCTTGTGGATCGTCTTCGTGGCGATTGGCATGCTTGAGCTTGGCATGGGCCCATGGAAGGAGGACCCCAGCAGCCCAGGTGACTACGGAGATCCGCTGAACCTGGCCAAGGGCAACGTCACTGATGACATCCGCAATCGGGAGCTGAACAACGGGCGTTTCGCGATGTTTGCCTGGCTGGGTATTGTCAGCGCTGAGCTGTACACTGGATCCTCAGCGGTCTCTCAGTTCGCCGTGGCACCAAAAGCTGTGGCTCGCACATCCCATGGCTTCTGCGGTGCTTCCATGGCCACGAGCAACAGCCGCACCCTGAGCAGCCGTCGGGCCTTCGATGGAGCTAGCCAGCCAGGTGCCTCCGCACCCTTGGGCTTCTTTGACCCTTTGGGGCTCAGTGGCACCCAGGAGCGCTTTGACAAGTTCCGTGCGGCAGAGGTAAAGCATGGAAGAGTGGCTATGCTCGCAATCATGGGGTCCTTTGCCGCACACTGGGCCACACCTCTCGGCGCGGGAGCTGGGGCTGCCGGCTTCTCTGATCCGATTGGTGCCAAGGGCTGCGTGGCATTGACCTTCTTCTGCGGCTTCTTGGAGCTCGGCCCGTGGGCGGATGGATATGCCAAGAGCCCTGGTGATTTCGGTGACCCCGCAGACTTTGGTGAAAAGTTTGGCAGCTCAGACGACATGAAGACCAAGGAGTTGAACAACGGCCGCCTTGCCATGATGGCAACCATCGGAATGTGCACCCAGGAGGCCGTTTTCGGCGAGAAGTTCACCGATCTGCCGGCACAGCTCGGACTTTAAAGGCTGCGATCCCTGGGAATTCTTGCATACTTGCCCTCTCTTCTCACCCGATTGGACCAGCTTCGCACAAGTGCGGCCAGCCTTGCCAGATCTTCCGAATTTTCAGGCATTAACGCTTTGTAAGGTGCCATCGGTCAAGCTGTTTCGTGAGCCTTCCATCTTTGCAATTACCTTGCAGTAGCAAGATGCGTTTGAGAAAGACAGCTGCGCCACAATTTCGCCGCGTACGCATGATCCGGGAAGTGTTTGGTGTGGGTCAGCTTGTGGGGCATATGGACAAGGTGATTGGCACCACTTGGCATTGCTTGGCCCCCAGCTCCCCAGGAGGTGAGGCTCAATACGCACAAACGCCCGAAACATAAAAATGCGAGCCTGAGGCTCCGCGCGCTGTGCTTCCCTGGTGCTACCTGGTGCGACCTGATGCTGTCAGGCAGGCCGCAGTTGTGTGGGTTGCAAAGGCGACATCATGATGGGTCAGGTGCCGCATCTAGAGGACCAGCCTTGAGTGTGATCCTTTGCAGCATGTTCTGTAGCAGACACATGTGTTATTCCCCAGTGAAACGAAAACATCGGTATTAACCGTGTTTCGTGGGCTGCTCATCAAAAACCATCTGTTTTACAACTTTTTCCGTGCCCGAACGCAGGGTTTGTTTCGGTGTGGGAGGGGGGCTGATTACATCCAGTTTCACCGAGCATCCATACCCGAAGGACTAAAGTCCGTGTTCTTCAAAAGCCCTGTGAATGAGGATGTAGCTGTTGATTGTTGGGCTGGTGGCGTTCTTTCTCGTTGCCGTGTCTCTGTGGCTTGCGGGTGGCCCTTTTTTCAACCCTCGAGAAACAAACCCGGGCCACGCAAGGGAAAACGCTGCAAATACCGGTAACATGGCTGTTTTTTCGGTTAAAACCGTAACCTGTTTTTCGACCTGGCCAGGGAGCCGCTGGCCTTGTTCTTGGATGTGGTTTTCCGCCCGAGAAATCTCGAGAAGGCAGACGCCGCTTCATCGAACTTCCCAACCCCGAGCAAGTCCAAACCAAACCTCACGCCGCCCATTGAAACCCTAAACCCAAAACCCTAAACCCTAAACCCTGAACCCTAAACCCTAAACCCCCTACCCCCTAAACCCTAAACTCGCAAGTCCGCCGGACCCAGGGCTGGGCTTCAGTGCTAATTGGCACAACGTACAGCATTGTTTCTGTTCTCATCTGTTGCCGGATTTGGGTATCGCGGGTTTGTCTCGTCCAAAACGGCCAGGTGCAAAAATGTAGGGGCTGGGGGCCGGCTTGGGGGGGGGCTATGAGGGCCGCTGATGCAGACATCACTGCTGCCTGCGCCCGTCAGAAGCTGCGAAGACCTTTGCGTGTGGTAAATAAACCCGTCCTGCGGCCTTCAGCTGAATGTCAGAATGTATAGATATGTATAGGTTGGGGCGTGGCGTTTGCGATCATGGCGCCGTTAATATCTGAGTTCATTTCACTTCTGCATTCTATATGGAAGAGTTCGAGCGCCAAATTCAGAGCATACTACATCACAAACCTGGCGAAGACACTGAGACCTGTTGTCGTGTCGCGAGTCTCCCAGAGTTCTCGTCAAGAGGAGCAGGGGAAGTATATTGTGGCACTGTTGCTTGTTGCCGCAGGTGGCTGCTACACTCAAGCCCAAGAGGCCCGCGCTGCTTTGCCTCAGGGAGCTACGCTGTGCTGTTTGCTGAGAACTCTACCAAGCAGACATCGCTCGGAACTTACATGTCTTGCGATGCTGCTCTCCAAGCCCTTTAGGGTCATTTTTTTTTGCCGGGCTGCGCCCAGCCGTAGGTAGAGACCAGCTGCCATGAGCCGCGTGGGTGCTGCCGTGGCCCTTGGTGGCCTGACTTTGGCCCCAGCCTTCCTGGCGCCCGGATCTTCCACTCCTTCAACTCCTGTCCAGAAGAACCTGCGCACGGCGGAGCCTTCGTCCTCCCGGGCTGGGCCATCTTTCTCTACTAGTGCAGCCAGTGTGCTGGGTGCGGCAGCAGTGGCATCCTTGGTTGCGTCCAAGAAGCCCGTTCGCTCAGGCGCTGTTGCATGCCAGGCCTTCGATGCCAGCTCGCAAGTCGGCGTCACGCCTCCCTTCGGTTTCTTCGACCCAGCAGGCTTCACAAAGGGTGCGGATGAGACGGAGTTCAATCGGCTGCGTGCATGCGAGATCAAGCACGGCCGTGCGGCCATGATGGGAGCTCTAGGACTCTTGGTGCAGAGCGTTTACAAGCTGCCGGGCTACGAAAGCGTTCCTTCTGGTTTGGCGGCGCAGTGGACCGAGCCAGGGGCCAACAGCTTGTGGATCGTCTTCGTGGCGATTGGCATGCTTGAGCTTGGCATGGGCCCGTGGAAGGAGGACCCCAGCAGCCCAGGTGACTACGGAGATCCGCTGAACCTGGCCAAGGGCAACGTCACTGATGACATCCGCAATCGGGAGCTGAACAACGGGCGTTTCGCGATGTTTGCCTGGCTGGGCATTGTCAGCGCTGAGCTGTACACTGGATCCTCAGCGGTCTCTCAGTTCGCCGTGGCACCAAAAGCTGTGGCTCGCACATCCCATGGCTTCTGCGGTGCTTCCATGGCCACGAGCAACAGCCGCACCCTGAGCAGCCGTCGGGCCTTCGATGGAGCTAGCCAGCCAGGTGCCTCCGCACCCTTGGGCTTCTTCGACCCTTTGGGGCTCAGTGGCACCCAGGAGCGCTTTGACAAGTTCCGTGCGGCAGAGGTAAAGCATGGAAGAGTGGCTATGCTCGCAATCATGGGGTCCTTTGCCGCACACTGGGCCACACCTCTCGGCGCGGGAGCTGGGGCTGCCGGCTTCTCTGATCCGATTGGTGCCAAGGGCTGCGTGGCATTGACCTTCTTCTGCGGCTTCTTGGAGCTCGGCCCGTGGGCGGATGGATATGCCAAGAGCCCTGGTGATTTCGGTGACCCCGCAGACTTTGGTGAAAAGTTTGGCAGCTCAGACGACATGAAGACCAAGGAGCTGAACAACGGCCGCCTTGCCATGATGGCAACCATCGGAATGTGCACCCAGGAGGCCGTTTTCGGCGAGAAGTTCACCGATCTGCCGGCACAGCTCGGACTTTAAAGGCTGCGATCCCTGGGAATTCTTACATGCTCGCCTGCTCTTCTCACCCGGTTGGACGAGCTTCGCACAAGTGGGGCCAGCTGCCAGCCTTGCAAAATCTTTTGTGTCTAGCACCACAGTATGCCAAGTCACGATGCTTGTGCGGCCGTGCCTGTGCATCCTTCACTGCTTGTTGCTGCAGGTGGCTGCCAAACTCGAGCTCAGAAGGCAAGCGCTGAGAACTCCATCAACGTGATATCTGACATCATCTTGAGTGTTGCAAGCAGACATCGCTCCGAACATACATGTCTTGCATGTTGCTCTCCAAGCCCCTTAGGGTCATTTTTTTGCCGGGCTGCAACCAGCTGTAGTCAGAGTAGCGCCTCCCGGGGACGACATGCATTTGCGCACCGTTACAGGAAACACTTACACAACCCCAAGCGCAACGCTGCTGCATCCGATGCCGATACCTCCATCATTCATATGCGGATATTGAAGTGCCAGGTGGGTAGGGTGCCACAAGTACCGCTCCAGGTAAAGTCTGGTGTATCTCTCCCACATCGATCGAAATTCGAAGCAAATCTGCGATTCTTGGTAAGCATAACCTGGTGCCGCACGTGCTGCCCTACTACCACTCGGCTACTACTACCGCGACGACGACTACTACATACTACTACTACGGCCTATGTCTGCCTTCAACCCTACCTCGCTGTGACACCTGAGCTGTCAGGCTCAGCTGGTGACCTGCGGGCCCAGTGGCCCAAGAGGCGCGCCTCTGTACCTCAGAGAGCTTTGCTGTGCCACAGTATCTGTTGAGAACTCCACCAAGCAGACATTGCTCGGAACTTACATGTCTTGCACGCTGCTCTCCAAGCCCTTTAGGGTCAAGTTTTTTGCCGGGCTGCGCCCAGCTGTAGGTAGAGACTAGCTGCCATGAGCCGCGTGGGTGCTGCCGTGGCCCTTGGTGGCCTGACTTTGGCCCCAGCCTTCCTGGCGCCCGGATCTTCCACTCCTTCAACTCCTGTCCAGAAGAACCTGCGCACGGCGGAGCCTTCGTCCTCCCGGGCCGGGCCATCTTTCTCTACTAGTGCAGCCAGTGTGCTGGGTGCGGCAGCAGTGGCATCCTTGGTTGCGTCCAAGAAGCCCGTTCGCTCAGGCGCTGTTGCATGCCAGGCCTTCGATGCCAGCTCGCAAGTCGGCGTCACGCCTCCCTTCGGTTTCTTCGACCCAGCAGGCTTCACAAAGGGTGCGGATGAGACGGAGTTCAATCGGCTGCGTGCATGCGAGATCAAGCACGGCCGTGCGGCCATGATGGGAGCTCTTGGACTCTTGGTGCAGAGCGTTTACAAGCTGCCGGGCTACGAAAGCGTTCCTTCTGGTTTGGCGGCGCAGTGGACCGAGCCAGGGGCCAACAGCTTGTGGATCGTCTTCGTGGCGATTGGCATGCTTGAGCTTGGCATGGGCCCATGGAAGGAGGACCCCAGCAGCCCAGGTGACTACGGAGATCCGCTGAACCTGGCCAAGGGCAACGTCACTGATGACATCCGCAATCGGGAGCTGAACAACGGGCGTTTCGCGATGTTTGCCTGGCTGGGTATTGTCAGCGCTGAGCTGTACACTGGATCCTCAGCGGTCTCTCAGTTCGCCGTGGCACCAAAAGCTGTGGCTCGCACATCCCATGGCTTCTGCGGTGCTTCCATGGCCACGAGCAACAGCCGCACCCTGAGCAGCCGTCGGGCCTTCGATGGAGCTAGCCAGCCAGGTGCCTCCGCACCCTTGGGCTTCTTTGACCCTTTGGGGCTCAGTGGCACCCAGGAGCGCTTTGACAAGTTCCGTGCGGCAGAGGTAAAGCATGGAAGAGTGGCTATGCTCGCAATCATGGGGTCCTTTGCCGCGCACTGGGCCACACCTCTCGGCGCGGGAGCTGGGGCTGCCGGCTTCTCTGATCCGATTGGTGCCAAGGGCTGCGTGGCGTTGACCTTCTTCTGCGGCTTCTTGGAGCTTGGCCCGTGGGCGGATGGATATGCCAAGAGCCCTGGTGATTTCGGTGACCCCGCAGACTTTGGTGAAAAGTTTGGCAGCTCAGACGACATGAAGACCAAGGAGCTGAACAACGGCCGCCTTGCCATGATGGCAACCATCGGAATGTGCACCCAGGAGGCCGTTTTCGGCGAGAAGTTCACCGATCTGCCGGCACAGCTCGGACTTTAAAGGCTGCGATCCCTGGGAATTCTTACATACTCGCCTGCTCTTCTCACCCGGTTGGACGAGCTTCGCACAAGTGGGGCCAGCTGCCAGCCTTGCAAAATCTTTTGTGTCTAGCACCACAGTATGCCAAGTCACGATGCTTGTGCGGCCGTGCCTGTGCATCCTTCACTGCTTGTTGCTGCAGGTGGCTGCCAAACTCGAGCTCAAAAGGCAAGCGCTGAGAACTCCATCAACGTGATATCTGACATCATCTTGAGTGTTGCAAGCAGACATCGCTCCGAACATACATGTCTTGCATGTTGCTCTCCAAGCCCCTTAGGGTCATTTTTTTGCCGGGCTGCAACCAGCTGTAGTCAGAGTAGCGCCTCCCGGGGACGACATGCATTTGCGCACCGTTACAGGAAACACTTACACAACCCCAAGCGCAACGCTGCTGCATCCGATGCCGATACCTCCATCATTCATATGCGGATATTGAAGTGCCAGGTGGGTAGGGTGCCACAAGTACCGCTCCAGGTAAAGTCTGGTGTATCTCTCCCACATCGATCGAAATTCGAAGCAAATCTGCGATTCTTGGTAAGCATAACCTGGTGCCGCACGTGCTGCCCTACTACCACTCGGCTACTACTACCGCGACGACGACTACTACATACTACTACTACGGCCTATGTCTGCCTTCAACCCTACCTCGCTGTGACACCTGAGCTGTCAGGCTCAGCTGGTGACCTGCGGGCCCAGTGGCCCAAGAGGCGCGCCTCTGTACCTCAGAGAGCTTTGCTGTGCCACAGTATCTGTTGAGAACTCCACCAAGCAGACATTGCTCGGAACTTACATGTCTTGCACGCTGCTCTCCAAGCCCTTTAGGGTCAAGTTTTTTGCCGGGCTGCGCCCAGCTGTAGGTAGAGACTAGCTGCCATGAGCCGCGTGGGTGCTGCCGTGGCCCTTGGTGGCCTGACTTTGGCCCCAGCCTTCCTGGCGCCCGGATCTTCCACTCCTTCAACTCCTGTCCAGAAGAACCTGCGCACGGCGGAGCCTTCGTCCTCCCGGGCCGGGCCATCTTTCTCTACTAGTGCAGCCAGTGTGCTGGGTGCGGCAGCAGTGGCATCCTTGGTTGCGTCCAAGAAGCCCGTTCGCTCAGGCGCTGTTGCATGCCAGGCCTTCGATGCCAGCTCGCAAGTCGGCGTCACGCCTCCCTTCGGTTTCTTCGACCCAGCAGGCTTCACAAAGGGTGCGGATGAGACGGAGTTCAATCGGCTGCGTGCATGCGAGATCAAGCACGGCCGTGCGGCCATGATGGGAGCTCTTGGACTCTTGGTGCAGAGCGTTTACAAGCTGCCGGGCTACGAAAGCGTTCCTTCTGGTTTGGCGGCGCAGTGGACCGAGCCAGGGGCCAACAGCTTGTGGATCGTCTTCGTGGCGATTGGCATGCTTGAGCTTGGCATGGGCCCATGGAAGGAGGACCCCAGCAGCCCAGGTGACTACGGAGATCCGCTGAACCTGGCCAAGGGCAACGTCACTGATGACATCCGCAATCGGGAGCTGAACAACGGGCGTTTCGCGATGTTTGCCTGGCTGGGTATTGTCAGCGCTGAGCTGTACACTGGATCCTCAGCGGTCTCTCAGTTCGCCGTGGCACCAAAAGCTGTGGCTCGCACATCCCATGGCTTCTGCGGTGCTTCCATGGCCACGAGCAACAGCCGCACCCTGAGCAGCCGTCGGGCCTTCGATGGAGCTAGCCAGCCAGGTGCCTCCGCACCCTTGGGCTTCTTTGACCCTTTGGGGCTCAGTGGCACCCAGGAGCGCTTTGACAAGTTCCGTGCGGCAGAGGTAAAGCATGGAAGAGTGGCTATGCTCGCAATCATGGGGTCCTTTGCCGCGCACTGGGCCACACCTCTCGGCGCGGGAGCTGGGGCTGCCGGCTTCTCTGATCCGATTGGTGCCAAGGGCTGCGTGGCATTGACCTTCTTCTGCGGCTTCTTGGAGCTCGGCCCGTGGGCGGATGGATATGCCAAGAGCCCTGGTGATTTCGGTGACCCCGCAGACTTTGGTGAAAAGTTTGGCAGCTCAGACGACATGAAGACCAAGGAGCTGAACAACGGCCGCCTTGCCATGATGGCAACCATCGGAATGTGCACCCAGGAGGCCGTTTTCGGCGAGAAGTTCACCGATCTGCCGGCACAGCTCGGACTTTAAAGGCTGCGATCCCTGGGAATTCTTACATACTCGCCTGCTCTTCTCACCCGGTTGGACGAGCTTCACACAAGTGGGGCCAGCCGCTGCAAAATCTTTTGTGTCTAGCACCACAGTATGCCAAGTCACGATGCTTGTGCGGCCGTGCCTGTGCATTCTTCACTGCTTGTTGCCGCAGGTGGCTGCCAAACTCGAGCTCAAAAGGCAAGCCCTGCTTTGCGGGCAGAGAGCTGTGCCTTTCCATTGGCATGAGAAGTCCACCAGCATGATATCATCCTCGGTGTTGCAAGCAGACATTGCCCGGAACTTACCTGTCTTGCATGCTGCTCTCCAAGCCCTTTTAGGGTCAAGTTTTTTTGCCGGGCTGCGCCCAGCTGTAGGTAGAGACTAGCTGCCATGAGCCGCGTGGGTGCTGCCGTGGCCCTTGGTGGCCTGACTTTGGCCCCAGCCTTCCTGGCGCCCGGATCTTCCACTCCTTCAACTCCTGTCCAGAAGAACCTGCGCACGGCGGAGCCTTCGTCCTCCCGGGCCGGGCCATCTTTCTCTACTAGTGCAGCCAGTGTGCTGGGTGCGGCAGCAGTGGCATCCTTGGTTGCGTCCAAGAAGCCCGTTCGCTCAGGCGC